GACCCATCCCCCACCAATCAATCAATCAATCAATCAGTCAGTCCATTGATCAATCAAAGAAAAAGAAAAAAAGAAAAAAAAATCTATGTCTTTTGAGTCTGGTTTTGTTTTTGATTTTTTAAAAATAATTTAAATGCTCAAAAAATAAAAATAAAAATATGGGGATGTAGAGAGCAAAAAAATCTACACCCCCATATTTGTTTATTTTTTTTTTACTTATTTTTTGCCTGCAAAAAAAATATCTGCGGACCGAGTTGAACCACGTTGTAACGGGGTATAACGCGGAGTTGAAACAGAGTTCAACGGGAGTTGAACCGTTTAACTCGAAACCCCCATTGAACGTGGTTTCGGACACACAGCATTGACCTACTAAAGACGCAAGACACGGTGAGCAGCACGATTGCTCGGTGAATGTACTTCATCAATCAGTTCGACTTCACACTGAAACACATTCTGGGTCTCTCCAACCGAGCCGCGGATGCTCTCTCGCGAAGATCCGATCTTTGCGCAGTGACTCACCACGCGTTCAGTTTCAATGAAGCCCTTCATCAGCATTTTGTGCGAGCATACAAGTCCGATCCGGAATACGCCACGCTCTACGAGCAACTATCCTCGGATCACCTGCCGGCCAGCCACTATCGCATCGTCGATGGCTACCTGTTGCTTCACTCACGAGGCAAGGACTTAATATGTGTCCCACACGACCGTCGCTTACGGACTCGTCTCCTCGCCGAGTACCACGACTCGAGACTCGTCGGCCACCTCGGAGTCAACCGTACGATCGCAAGACTTCGGCAGCGATTCCGGTGGCCTGACCTCATTTCCGACGTCACTCGGTATTGCGACTCTTGCGAAGTTTGTCGACGAAGCAAACCCCGCAATCGCAACCCCTATGGTGAGTTACGCCCGTTGCCTATTCCACGGGAACCCGGCCTCTCCATTGCCATGGACGTCACTGGCCCGTTTCCCCGGGACTGCTTCGGGCACGACGACATTCTCACGGTTGTTGACCGTTTGAGCAAGTACGCACAATTTCTTCCTTGCAAGTACCACGCCACGACTCCGGAACTTGCACGCCTCTTACACACCGGCTAGATTTGCGGCCACGGCGTTTCGGAAGACATCGTCAGCGATCGCGACACTCGTTTCAGGTCGGCATTTTGGACCTCTCTCATGAAAGAGTCCGGCACCGAGATGAAACCAAGTTCGGCTCGGCATCCGCAAACGGACGGGCATACGGAGCGGGCACATCAAACCGCTCAAGTAATGCTTCGCACACTCATCCGTACGGATCAGAAGGATTGGGTGGACCGCCTCCCCGACATCGAGTTCGCCTACAACACTTCGGTGCACCCGRCSATCGGCGKGACTCCGTTYGAGTTACACCACGGTGGCCGGAARGGCYGCATCTTCGYTGATCTTCCTTTYCCAAGGACTGCCGACATTGACGCCGCTTGTTCGCCCGCCTCCGTTCGGAAGTATAGGGACTTGCTGGCTAAAGCCCGCGCCAACATGCAAAAGGCTCAAGTCCGCATGCAACAGCAAGCTAACAGGCGTCGCGTGCCATGCCCCATCCGCGTCGGCGACCTCATCTAGGTCTCCACGGAAGAGTTTGCACTCGAGCAGGATGTATCCCGCAAGCTACTTCCAAAGTGGTTTGGACCATGGCCCATCACATCAACCGCGGGTGATGAGCCCTATGGCCCTTCATTTGTGATCGAAATCTCACCGCACCTCACGGTGCACCCGGTTTTCCACGCCTCCAAGCTGGCCACATATACACCAACCAAGAGCTACGACTTCCTGGGACGACGATCACAGGACCCTCCTTCCATGGATGGTCATCAGGAAGTCGACCGCTTCATCACGCATCGCAAGCACGGCAATAAGCCTATGCAGTACAAAGTCACATTCAAGTGGTGTGACCCCGATGACACGCGATGGATTTCCCGGCAGCTTTGCGAGCCTCCGCTGCTGACATCTATGCAGACTATGCTCATTATGAGAAGAAATGGCTAGCGACGGAAGCCGC